ACACTGGAGGTTAAGGCCTGGCTTCTGCTCCCGACGCGTCCCGGCGCGTCCGGGTTCAAATCCGCCTGCCGACCTCTCGGGGTGTTTGAGAGGTGATGAAATGGGAGGTGACCCCCCATCTTGTGGACGGTGTAGGACGTGATAAAATCAACTCGCGAGCCGACCAGGAACTAAGTTGACGCGCCGTTGATCCGCTAGATTTGGTTGGATGCTGGTGGTGAGTAGCCAAACTCAAAGAGAACACTCTGAAGTCGGATGGGGTGAATGGCTTAGGGTGCCCCTCTAGCAGGGGAGAGCAGGGAATTGCCTCGGGAAGGAGGCCACTGGTGAAGCTTAACCACCCTGTAACAACATCAACTAGCTTCACGACATATGCCTTTAAAGAGCTGCCACTTTACGCATGAGAGCTCACATTGTGTGCCCTTGCGTCACGTTCCAAGCTCTCAAGAACACCTCGTACGACGCCGCTGCCGAGGTGGACACGGCCTGCAGCCCCAGCACCTGCAACACGGCGGCCATAATTGCGGAGAGCCGCAGGCCGCCGCCGCCGCCACTGCCGCCACTGCCTCCCTCGAGCTGCATTTTGCCACCTCTCCCACCGTACTGGCAGCCGGCGGCCCCCTCGCGACGGCGGTCGTCGTCGTCGCCGTCGCGCTCATCATTGGCGACCCCCGCCGCCTCCTGGCCCACCGCCGCAACATGAAGTACTCCCCTTAGCTGCTGCTGCTGCTGCTGCTGTTCCTTACGCTGAGGCTGTAGCCGGGAAAGCGGCGTTGGCGTCAACGGCAGCGGTGGCGGCGTCAGTCCCGTACGAATGCTTGCTGCAGTAGCGGACAAACCCATGGCCTCCACATAACTCAGGAGGTGCGGTACGAGCACCTCCAGTACCTTCGCGTCCGCGCAAGCACCCATTGCCCCCATCGCGGTTGTGGCGCCTATCCTGTCGTCATCACCATCAGCAGCAGCAGGGCCGGCCGGCGGTGGTGCCGCCGCCAGAGTTCCCAGGTCGTACAGCAGCTCGTCCATGTCCCGACTGGCCCCGCCGGGCATGCTGGCCGCCAGGGCATTGATCTCCGCTGCGACAGCGGTGTCGTCGGTCGCCAGCAGCGGGACCATGTCTGTGAAGGGG